TCACATCACATCACATTGAACCTCAGATTAATAAATTTATTTATTTATTTTAATTATTAATTAATAATATTATTTTAATTAATTAATAAGTGTATTAAGTCCAACAAAAAATAAATAAATAAATAAAAAATTAATTAATTTAATATGAGAAAAAAATTTAAATTTAAATTAAAAAAAGAAAAAATTTAAATTTAATTAATTAATTAATTATTTTATTTATTTATTTATTTATTTATTTTTTTATTAAAATAATTGAAATTAATAATAAATAAAAATAAGTAATACTTACATATAATGTATAAAAATATTTAAAAAATAAAAACACGCGTTTAGTAATATTAATAATAATAATAATTATTGTTTGTTGTTGTTGTTGTTGTTAATCGTAAGACGATGATGTGTTAACTGAGTTGAAGAGGGTTTCGAACGACTATCATAGTATAAGACGACAAGGTAATCAAGACTTTTCATTTTTCTATACTTACTATATAGACAGGAGAAAAAAAAAAAGAAGTAATAACTTTGGGGAGGCCTGGAGTGCAATCGAACAACAACAACAACAACAACAAGCAAAAAACGGGTTTACAGGCTTTTTTAGTCTGCTGATTTATCAATGAAAAAGATAGTAGTTAAATTTTAAAGTTTATTTATTAACCTGTTTTTTTACCTATCGTTATTATTATTATTATTATTATTATTATTATTATTATTATTACGTTTTTTGTTGTTGTTGTTGTTTAGCATTTTGACTCACGTATTTTTTCGTATGAAATTTTGTTTTGACGTAATTCCCGGCGTTAAAATTGACGTATTTTAAATAATTTTTTTTTTGAAAGGATTTGAAGTTGTGGAAAAGCGAAATCATTTTTTTTTTATTCCCGCCTATTAATTTTTTTTTTTTTTATATAATTAACGATTCCAGTGATCGTTGACGACATTTGAAATTTTAAGAAAATTGTTTTTTATAATGATAATAATACTAATGCATCATCCTGGAAGAATTGAATGTAAAAAAAAAAAAGGGGGGGGGGGGAATTATTTAACTCGATTGTTAATAATTAAAAAAAATTTTTTTTTTTTTTCGTTGTGTGTTTGTGATTTTAACTGAAATTTTTTATTGATGCATATAGATGTTTCTGGAAGGTTATCCAAAAGTGTTTCCGTGTTATTATGATGTAATCAAAAAAAAAAAAAAAAAAAATTGTTTCGTCCGAAGAATATTTACCTCATCCTCTTCTTTAAAAAAAAAAAAAAACTCGAATTCCAATCTCGAGTTTTAAAATCAATTTTTTTTTTTTTTAATACTTTTAAAAATAATTTACGTAA